AAAAAAAAGCCATATTACTCACACAGTCAGCTGAAAACAGTACCATAAAAAAAAAAATGTCCAATATTTGATCTCAATTTAGCTTTACAAAAGACCTAATCAGTCACTTAGGATATTTCAGTCAGTGCAAGTTTAAAACTGTCCTTGCATTAGCCTCTATTTTTCTATCCAGCCGTGTTTCACTTTGGAAGATCAGTTCACAGTCCATAAGCAAAGTAGTTCTATTATTCACCTTAAACTTTTGTCTCATTATACTTAGAAGCCCCTAAGACAAGCCTAAATAATTTCTCTCTTGCCTCAATGGTTAAACCCTGCTAAGACAAGACTAAGTACAAGTTTGGGTACATGCAATTTTTCCAGATAAGATCTACTCTATATTTAGAGTTCTTCCCCCGCCCATGAGAGTTCTGTGGATTTCTAAAGAGCTTTTCATCAAATTAAAAAAAAAAAAAAAAAGCATTTGAGGGCTTTGAAATTAAGTATGTTCATGCTGAAGAATGCTGAACCTGTGTAACTGAGGTCACAGTATCTGTTTGTCAAGAACCCATGGGTCACTCCCTGTTACGGTCAGTTGAGAATATCTATGTCTTACCGTCACAACTTTAGAGGGGGAACTGAACCAGAATTGCACTACCTGGCCATGTCCAGACGAACAGGGGTGTGCACCTTCAGCAGCACAAACAGGAGCAGCACAAATTTGTGCCACTACTTTGTGCCACAGTGCACACCCCAGGAATTGTGCTTTGCTGCCAGACAAACTGTCCTGCCTTGGACAAATCGCCCTTGCCCAGCTCCTCCCAGCTCTTCAGCCAGGAAGAGCGGGAGGCTGACCTTAGCAATATTAGCTGGTGCCCTGGTGGCATGCTGGAGCAGCAGGGGCACAACTCGGGCAGCATGAAGGCCTGGCTGGCAGCCAGAGTATTGCTCTGGAGGGCCAGGCCTCCATTTGTGCGTGTGTGCGTGTGCGTGTGGTGCCACTTTTCTTCTGGCTTTTTTTGGGGGGGGGGGGGTG